TCTATCTATCTGTCTGTCTGTCTGTCTGTCTGTCTATCATTCTATCTATAGTTCTATCTATAGTTCTATCATTCTGTAGTTCTATCTATCTATCTATCTATCTATCTGTCTATCTATCTGTCTGTCTGTCTATCTATCTATCATTCTATCTATAGTTCTATCTATAGTTCTGTCATTCTGTAGTTCTATCTATCTATCTATCTATCTATCTGTCTATCTATCTGTCTGTCTGTCTGTCTGTCTGTCTGTCTATCACTCTATCTATAGTTCTATCTATAGTTCTATCATTCTGTAGTTCTATCTATCTATCTATCTATCCATCTATCTATCTATCTATCTATCTATCGATCGATCGATCTGTCTGTCTGTCGGCTCAGAAAGGCCTTTTTTCCTCTTGGTATAGAGTTTTACAGACTTTTTGTTTTCTCTTTGTATAAGTTGGAGACAGAATGATATCAGTGTAGCGCTGATGACTTGAATTGGCAGAGCCCTCAGAAGTGAAAGACAGACATGAATTATTTGCCAGTGTATCCCCTCAACCACGTCAGCCACACAAAGCAAAATAAATATGTGCTGACCTTAGTGGGTGCCATCCCTCTCAGACAAAGCATTAAGTATTGTTGACAGTTTGACGTTTAATCTGCTCAGAAGACAAATGAAAGAATAAAGGAAGTTATGGGATTGAGACGCCTCATGCATAAAGAAGGTGAAATGGCCGTGGTCAAAATATGCTTTGATGCTCTTCATGTGGCGTCACCGGTGGGAAATATGGGACCACCTCGGTCTAAATTCCCCCTGAGGTTAAGGCTGCAAGTGTAATGCCTGCCTCTATTCGTCACAACCTCTTTAGCACTGAACGTCAAGCGGCCGCTCGACAAATCATCATCGAGATTCCAGAGTGGCTACAGAGCATCGCACCGCAGGTTCACAAAACTGCAATAGGTCTGATCTGTCTTGTTGTGTGCCCAGCAGTAATTTCGCCAATGATTAGGTGGACCGTGGCGAGGTGTGACCCAACTTTAGCGGCGACACCACTTCATCTGTAGACCTAGCAACTCGATAAAGCCGCTGACAGTCATGACAGAGTTGAATGACATCCGTAGAAGCCTTGTGAAGGAATGTTACAGTCCTACCAGGATTGACTGCAGAGAGCTGTAAGAAACAATGCGCTGTTATGCCTGCCATGCAAATAAAAATTATTGTCTAATGTAAATTCCTCTAGGAACCACGATTCCACCCCTGCTGAACACCACGTCCAACAACCTGTTCCTCAACTTTCAGACTGACATGAGCGTTTCTGGAGCTGGTTTTCACTTGGAATATACAGGTATAATGACTGTTCACTTCTGCAGTCAGACCACAAATCACGGTTTCCTATGGAAGCTTAAAGGGGTCATATGATGCGATTTCAAGTTTTCCTTTCTCTTTGGAGTGTTACAAGCTGATTGTGCATAGATAAGATCCCTGAAGTTGCAAAGACTAAAGTCTCAAAACCAAAGAGATATTCTTTATCAAAGTTAAGACTCTGCCACGCCCCCCTAAAACGGCTCACCAAATACACAAAATAATGATCTTTAAAAAAGCATATATATATATATATATATATGACCCCTTTAATAAAAAAAAAATAAATAAATAAAAAGATAAATGTGAATTTTATTTCACAATTCTGATTGTTTTATTTCAATCCCGAGTTTATATCTCACAATTTAGACATTTTTTTTTCTCCCTCGCAATTCCAAGTCCAAATGAATTGCGAGATATAAACAAAAAATCAGAAGAAAAGTCAGATATAATGTGAGATTTAAACTAATAATTGCAAGAAAAAAATTTGAATCTCAAGAGATAAACTTGCAAAACTAGAAGCTAATTTCTGCCACAGAATTATTTTTTTAAATCTGACAATTCTGACTTCAGATGTAAACTCACAATTCTGAGAAGAAAAGTCTGAATTGAGAGATAAAAACACTATATGTGAGATAAAAAGTCACAATTAAATTTGTACTTTTATTGCGAGTTCATATTTCACAAGTATGACTTTTCTTATCAGAATTAAGATTTTATATCACACAATTCTGAGTTTATGTCTTGCAATTCTGATTTTTTTCCCCCTCAGGATTGTGAGATAAAATGATAATGATTGTGAGATAAAATGTTGCAATTGCCATTTTTATGTTATTTATTTATTTTTTATTCTGTGGCAGAAAAAAAAAGCATGCATAGTTCTGTTTAAAATAAAATATTTTTATTATTAAGAACAATTGTATTACAATTGTATATTTCTCTCTTCATTTTTTTATAATTAGATCAAAAATATTAATAGTAAAAACAATTGTGTTATTATTAATATCACTGAAGTAATCATTATATCGCAGTTCAAATTGCGATCACAATATATACCACAATATATTTTTTGACAGCCCTAAACTGTTAATAAATAATTTAATAAAAATAAAAAACAATCAAAATAAAACACTTGCAAAAATATTATTTATAGTCATACATATAATGTGTTTTATTTGTTTTCCTGCATGTCATTTGACCATTGACCAACATCAGAGAACTGTAAACATGTGACTTAAAAACTTAAAATCTCAGGGTTTACTTCAAGAAAATATTTGATGTCAAAGGGGTTCAGCTAACAAAGAAAGTTTGGGAAGCCCTGCCCACAGGCGACTGCAAATGAATTGAATTTAACCTCAACATGAATCAAGCAACATTTGTTATGACTCATTTCTCTCGCGGGGCTCCTTTGCGTCTCGCAGTGTAAACGCAAATCAATTTCCATTTGTGTTGGGGAACAGTCACATTCTGACAAATGAAGAGAGTTTCCTGTGTCCTAAGCAATAGGTTTGGACTCCTGCCCAGAACCTCAAACCCCCAGCAACGGTGTGAAAGTGGGCGACCGCTACTTCGTGGGTGATGTTGTCTCGTTCCACTGTGAACAAGGATACACTCTAAAGGTGGGCGATTTCATATCATAATATGGCAGTGATAGCTTAGCGCTCTCAGCTTCAAATGCTCAGAGACATTTGCACTCGTTCTAAAAAGCTTTTTGGTTGCTCATTTTGGCATTTCGCATTCATTCACAGTGCCAAGGCTTTGTTATTTTTGCTCTCATGTCGTACGTGGAAGAGCATGTTGAATGATACATGTCCTATGAGTGATTCATCTTCCTTCGGAATTGGTGAGAGCTTCTTGGAAAAGTCAATATCTTCATTTCCACTCGTTGCAGGGAAGTGCATATATAACCTGCATGCCGGGGCCTGTCAGAAGATGGAACTACCCAGCGCCCCTCTGTCTGGGTATGTTTTATTAGCAGTCATTTCTCCCCGTTTGGCCTTTTCAATGAGAGCATTACCACTGCTTTACTTCTCCGTAATTGCAATTCTTCAAATTAGTGTCTCGCAACAACCTTATGTTCCTGTTAGTTGAGGAGTTTGTGCCGTTTCATCTTATTTGATTTCAATGTAGCAGCTGTTTCATCACCAAGTGTAGAGAGATCAGCCGTGGTCTGTTAGAGCTCTATTTAATCAAATGGACTATGAAAAAGCTTTCTTCAGGCTAGATCTTTGAGGTCCTATTCGGTCTAATCTTCAGTCTTTTTCATTTTCTCTTTTGTTGAAATCTAGCCTTAAACCCTTCTTCCATGTCTCGTGATCTCTTGCGGCTATAACAGCATCGCTCACAAGTTTCTGGCCATCTAGCTAATGCTGTTCATCCAGTCCACTAATAGCAGTGACAGACGCTGCAGGACCTCAGGTTAAGTGGCTGGTGCAACAATGCAAAAGGATGCACTTTACTTCATTATAGTTATTATGCATCGTTTACTTCATTATAGTTTACTTCTAAAAGATGTTCTCTGACATGTCTGTAAATGTATGCAAATGTAAGTATTTTTTTAATTCCAGTACCATTAAAACAAACGTAAAAAGTGACTTTAATATTGCTATACAGTATTATAAAATGTCATTATTAAAATCAAAAGTCATGTCTTTTAAAACTATTTAATGGACCCGAGCTAACATTGTCTTTTTATTAACTAATGTTAACAAAGATTAATGCATTTTGACTGATAGCTTTAGCTATGACTTTGACGATTTGTATAAAAGTTGTGTTTTTAGCAAACCACTTGTAAATTATTTAAATTTTACTGTATCGGAGAGCAATCTTAAGAAGTTACAATTCACATTTTCACTGGAAATGTAATGCTAGAATTGCTCTAGGATTCTGGCAAAAGAAATTGTTCTTCCACCTGGATCCAGAAAATAAAAAAATAATCGCATATCAATACAAATGTCTGCAATTCCAGAAATTCATTGTTTATATCATCCAAAATGTTTGCAAATATGCTGCTGAGTGGATTGTAACATGCAATTTATTTTTTGATTGATTTAATTTCATTCCATTTTCATTTGAATTTAAAAGTTAAGCTCAGTTGAGTTTAGAAGGCTGAATATGTGCTATTTCTTCTGATTTGATTTCATTGTAGCAGCTGTTTCATACCGACCATAGAATATCGAAACGTCACCTATATAGACACTAACGATTTTGATCATCTATGTTAATGCAAATATATAGGGGTGCATGATTTGTTTGTATGATATGTTTTCATACTGAACCGACATTGAAATCATTTAATTTGTTATTGTTTTTATTCAAATTTTATTTCTTTTTAATTCTTCTTTAAATTCAGTAATTGAATTTGGATAAAAAAGTAAAGCTCAATCTAATTTAGACTCCGATTGGTGGCGTTCGGCACGGCTGTGGCTGAAGAGTGACACTTGAAGTTTAACTGAACAGAAGATTCAATGTTCTCTATTGACATTTCAATTGCTGTTCTAAAGTAGTGTAAATGGACACGGCGAGTCCAAGAGGCCATTCATTACACGTTTGCCAATAAGAGGAATGCAAACACAACCAAGCGCACGGGGACACATGTGCACACAGTAAAATCAAGGGGATATACTTACTTGCTTCAATATTGGCCTTTCAATCCCAGCGAGTTCTGGTGGTGTTCATTTAAAAAGTCATTATGAGAAAACATAACCCATGTATCATTTTCTCCCAACCTCAAAATGAACACATTTATGCCATTAGCATTTGAAAGCATTACTTATTGCACATCATTGCATTGTTATTTATATGTACCAAGAACACAAGGCTTTCTTATATGTGCAAATGAGTTCATTTTGCATATCACTAGATTCCGTAATGGAGTTTAGACTTGATGAATATCTATTTGATAATTTCTTAATGTTCCATTGAGTTTTCGTTCCCGGTGTTGCATTGTGTGAGAGATAGTAGACCTCAAAATGAACACATTTATTCCATTAGCATTTGAAAGCATTTCTTATTGCTCATCATTGCGTTGTTATTTATGTGTACCAAGAACACAAGGCTTTCTTATATGTGCAAATGAGTTCATTTTGCATATCACTAGATTCCGTAATGGAGTTTAGACTTGATGAATATCTATTTGATAATTTCTTAATGTTCCATTGAGTTTTCGTTCCCGGTGTTGCATTGTGTGAGAGATAGTATACTGTACATGCCATCTTCACTGACTCTGTGCATGGCTGCTCTTGTCTTTTAAGCCGAGTGCGGGGGATTCCTGTCGGACCTGAATGGAGTCATCCTAAGTCCCGGCTTTCCTGGAAATTACCCCAGTGGGCTTGACTGCTACTGGACAGTTAAACTTCCTGTTGGCTTTGGTCTGTATCCTGTAACTTTTCAGTTGTATTTTTCTTGTGTTTCTTGAAGTTGCAAGTCATGGATTGTTTTGTTTGAACTTTATTTGGAACCTTTAAAGTTTACCTTCAGGTATCTCATTGTTGAAATGTACTATATCTCTCCTCCTATTGTTTACGATCCAGGGATTCACCTGCAATTCCTCAACTTCTCCACGGAAGCTGTGCATGACTACCTTGAAGTCCGTAGCGGGACACTAGACTCGGGTTCGGTGATCGATAGATTCTGTATCCTGTAACTTTGCAGTTGTATTTTTCTTGTGTTTCTTGAAGTTGCAAGTCATGGATTGTTTTGTTTGAACTTTATTTTGAACCTTTAAAGTTTACCTTCAGGTATCTCATTGTTGAAATGTACTATATCTCTCCTCCTATTGTTTACGATCCAGGGATTCACCTGCAATTCCTCAACTTCTCCACGGAAGCTGTGCATGACTACCTTGAAGTCCGTAGCGGGACACTAGACTCGGGTTCGGTGATCGATAGATTCAGTGGTCCCGTTGTTCCAGAATCTTTCTTCAGCACGACCCACGAGACCAGCTTCTTCTTTCACAGCGACTACTCGCAGAACAAACCCGGTTTCCACATCACCTACGAGGGTAAGACGGATTAGACCTGCCCACGGCCATTACCTCCCCTGTCGATACGGACACACACCATCGGATCCCTTCTCACAATAACAGGATAGGGAATATAACCAATTGTTCTCTTTGAGTTCAGTCAAAGCCCTTTTTAAAGCAAGTCAGTCGATCTCAGTAACATCCACAGCAGCTATACCAAATGCAAAACGACATATTTCTAAAGTTGGCTAGTTGGTGGGCTGCCTGAACGACTGATTGGTCTTAACGAAAAGCCCTGTATAATTAGGCTGGTTTTGGGAATGTGTACAGCTGTTGCTGCGGTGCTTTAAAGAGGATAAATTTAAAGACCCAGCTTTTCTGAGACGATTTAACTCCGCAAACAGCTAAAGCACAGCATGCTAATAAAAAAAGATAAAAAAGAGCACTTAAAATATCAAAATGAAAAAATATACACTACCGGTCAAAGGTTTAGAATAATTACGATTTAAAAAAATAATAAATTCCAAGAAATATTATGAAATAATATTAAATATTATTACAATTTAAAAAACTGTTTTCTATTTGAATACGTTTTGAAATGTAATTTATTCCTGTGATGAAAAGCTGAATTTTCAGCATCATTACTCCAGTCGTCAGTGTCACATGATCCTTCAGAAATCATTCTAATATGCTGATTTACTGCTCAGTTATTGTCAATTATTATCGGTGCTCAAAAAATAATAATGGTTCTTGTTATTATCAATGCTGAAAACATCGCTGCCTAATGTTTTTGTGGAAATCACGATGCATTCTTTGATAAATGAAGTTTAGCATTTATTTAGTTTAATCTTTTGTAACATTATAAAAGTCTTTCACTTTTTATCAATTTAATGTGTCCTTGCTTTTTTTTTATCTTATTTTCCCCAAACTTTTGAATGCTAATTTATGACAGTTTCCACAAAAAACATGTGCAAGTAAAAACATATAATATTTGTTTAATATATAACAACAACTAATAACTAACAATATTAACAATATTGCTGTTTTACTGAATTTTGATCAATTATTGGTGAGCATAAGAGACATTATTTAAAAAAGAAAAAAAAAGTTATTCCAAACTTTCAAATGGTAGTGTATACAAAGAATTACTATAAACTAGTTAACATCAGTGTTTTTTAATTGAAAAGTGCAATTTTGCTGTGATTTCTCCTATTAAATTCATAGTAGTAGTAGAGTATGTGTGAGACTCTTACGGTTTACTGTGAGGTGATTAATAGTGTTTTCTAGAGGTAGCATGACTATAAAAATCCCTAAGTGTTACATTTTAGTATGTAACTTTAGTATGTAACCCATTTGTGCCATGGACATGAAATTGTGCGCCTTGCTGATGAGGAGAGGTTTGCTTTTGCTAAATGAATAGACAGTTTTCACCTGGCATCTACCCAGAAGGCAACGGCATCCACATCAACTTCACCGTGCTCAACACCGAGCCCATCTACGACTACATCACCATCTGGTACGAGTTCTGCAAGCGTTTTATAAGAACTCCTCACCTAAAGACTTGCATCTGCTGGGTGTCAACATGAGTGTAATGCTTACAAAATAACATTGGCTTTAGGAAAGAGACAGACCATTCTTTCTTTCTTTTTTTTTTTTTTCGACTGATACCAATTATTTTTGTGTTTCAAAGACTGATAACCGTCATGCATAAACTATTTTAATCAAATTCATAATTGTTTTTCTTGATAATTTAGATATCACACAACAATGAAAATAATTTTGAAACCATTAGACTGAAAAACAAAAACTGCACAATTGCCATATATTAATTTGTTTGATATGTATGTATTTATTATTTTTTTTTTTTTAATGCTGCCTTTTTTTCTAAAGTTTTAGATATAATATTTACCATGAATAATTACAGCACATTTATCAGTAAATTAATTAAATTATTGCATTTAAAATGAATTATTTTATCTTACCTTACAAACCCATTTTGTATTTTTTTTAATTTATTTAATGTTATGTTTGTTTAATGCCTAATGATGAACAATATATGTATTATAGTTATCTTTTTATATTGACAACAACAATTAATAATAATAATAAGACTGATTGAACTTGTTAGACAAAACCAAAATAAAAAAACTTGCACATTATTATTATTATGATATTAATATTATTATGAATATTTTTTACTAAATGTAAAATGCTGTTGCTTGATGTTTGTTGTTGGGTGCTGCTGTTTAGAAATCAAATGATGCCATTATCAGTAAAAAGATCTAGTAACCAAGTGTGAGTTTAGAGAAGTGTAAAAAAAATATAAGTTAAATCGATTTTCTGCCTATGTCAAGTTTTGGATTTATCAAAATTATTAGTCAAGCACTCCACCAGAGAGTTTGTCCTTGTCCATGAAAAATGCATTTGTGCTAATGCTGCTAAGCTGAGACTTACGTAACACTTTATTTTAGTCTTTTATCTGTTTAGTTTCACACAGTTCTCTTGTGCTTTTCCATCTTCCATATATTTCCTTCTTGACTGAACATTAATGCTGAAGTGTCAAGCGGCTGGTGCGGTAGACGCTTGTGTTCACCTCATGAAAAATAGGATTTTTCTTGCTTTTCTGAAATATAACTGTTTGATGTACTTTGTACAAGTCCTTCCCCAGGAACGGCTCATTCAAAAATCATTTATCATAAGCGCAATAATGTACGACCTCCCACATTTACATATTAAGGCATATTCAAAGCTCAATGCAATTGTTACTCATTTTTCATGGAAAGAGTCATACAGAGGTCTTCAAGGTACAATAGCAAAAACGGCCTGTTTAATTCCCAGGGTCAGGGCAAGGGTGCAAAACAGGTAGGACACATATACGCATATACAAAAAGTTCATTAAAATTGTCTTCAAACAGTTTCTCTGCCTTAACAGTAGAAAGGCAAAACTGACCATAGAAGAAGAGTTAACACCAGAGATGCCTACGTTTGGTGACTTCTGATTTGACCAGCCATGTCACAAAGGAGGGACAAATAAGAAAAGAAATCATGCCATTTGAAGCAAATCTTAATAAATATTTTAATATTTATGTTTGATATTTTATATAACTTTTTTTTTTTATTAAAATGTGAAAAATATAAGTGAATTTGATTTAAAATAATTTAAACATTTGAAAAAAAAAATATTAATTAATAAACAAATTTAAACTATTTAAACATGTACATTTTAACAATTTAATAAATTTTAATATAAATACAAATATATATATTTGGATATAATGCAACATTTACTCAGCAATCAAGTTTGTTTTTTGGCTCTTTGTATTAAAAAATCTGGGCTCCTGTCGTCATTCAGCTCAATTCAGTTCAGTGTTGCAGAATTCATCAAATATGATTGATCAAATAAAGCTGATTCAGCTATAAAGCTGCTCTATAGAAGACAATAGAATCATTATCCACCTCAATTCACCAGTTTTGTTCTCGTCCGATAGTTTCAGTTCAGTCAAATCGATAATATTATTGAAAACCAATGATAGTCAGTGTTGGGGGTAATGCATTACAAGTAACGCAAGTTACGTAATCAGATTACTTTTTTTCAAGTAACTAGTAAAGTAACGAATTACTTTTTAATTTACAAGAGAACATCTGAGTTACTTTTTCAAATAAGTAACGCGTTACTTTTTTTTTTCCAATTTATTGATTGACAGCTCTCCTGTCCCCATGTTGAGAGAAATCAGAAGTTACTGTAGTTCTAAAATAAATATGAATATGCATTAATTCATCTC